TGTGATTACCTAGAAAACAAGATTGAATGTTCCACAAACAGAACCTAGAGCCAATTTATATATTGTTTCCCCCCCTCCTTCTTCTACTCATAAACTTTTGGAAAAATTACTGCCTCATGTTTTCAAGGATCTATCACATTTACCTTTATAACTGTCCCTGTTCAGCCTCTTATGTCCTTGGATGGGCATAGGCATGGGAAAGAAAGGTGGTACTTGCCAGGAAGAATTGAGCAGAGAGTAGTTAACATGTCATCTGCACTAATGGAGAAGTCTCTGAAGAGATTTCTTTGAATTTTTACACACTATCATGAAGAAACCCTAGCTTTTCTTGAGTAATAAAAAAAAAAAAATGGGTCCTTAATAAAACAAAATGTCGTCTCATAATATATATTGATATTACTTTCTAAAGTAAATTAAAAGTTTTAGCAATTTATCTATTGCTATGTATGTAATCTATGAGGTAATAGAAACTAATAAAGTATCCTAGCTTGCAAGGCTTTGCTTGTACTGTTCAGTAGGGTAGTGACAAACAGGTAAGGATTTACTTGAGAAGTGTAGCTGCCACAGGCTTCTCCAACAGATTTGCATTTGAATACAATCACAGGTATCAATACTGAGGCCAAAGAAAAATGTGAGATCAATCAAACGGATGTGAAATCAGTTTTTGATGACATTGTTTTAAATACATCTTGGCATACATATATCTCGGATATTGATTCTTTTATCTTAGGCAGCTTCATTTGAATTTTAGGGTTACAAAGCTCTCCCGGAATTAATCCAAATATATCCCTCCATCTAGACTTCATTTCAACTCTGGAAGCAAAGAAAGATGTAGTAAAGACAACATGAGAGCAGGAGCTATGATTCACAGTTCTAATAATCCTGACTGTGCCACCTATTTCATCCACTACTCTCAGTAAGACACTTCACAAGCTTCTAGGCTGGAAGGATGTCACCTATGTGAACCAGCTCTAAATTTCTATGATCCTACCTAAAAGCTCTTGTTCTGTTATGTATAATCCTGTGTGCTATGGATACAAATAATACTTGGAATTGTATTGCACTGTGTGGTTTCTTATGTTGTCCATATTTTACTGATATATATTCCTATAGCTTCTGCCTTATGCTATGTATTTTTTGACCTTTAAAAGTTAATCTGTGTTCATAAAATATAAACTTAGGGAGCAGAGACAATCTAATTGACGAATAAAATTATTGGTCTGTGCATATATGCTAACTATATGGCTAGTATTCATATATAAAGTAGGTACTTTATATTGCAGTTTAATAAATTTAATTCCATCATCAAAAAGAGTGTGGCAAAGAAATTGTTACGTAATGAATGCCAACATATCAACATGCTATTTCATTCGATGTGAAATGGTTAATGAAGAAAACAGATCAATTAACAGAGAATAATGATCAAGACTATCCTATTTATATCACTCCATAATAAATGTATGCAATCAAATAAACATTCTTTTCTTTAGGATTCTTTAAGATACTAATTCTATATTGTGCCTTTAAGTTCATTACATCAAAAATTAATCTCATTTCCAGGGTAGGCACTGTGGCGCAGCGCGTTAAAGCCCTGGCCTGAAGCATCGGCATCCCATATGGGCGCCGGTTTGAGACCTGGCTGCTCCACTTCTGATCCAGCTCTCTGCTATAGCCTGAGATAACAGTAGAAGATGGCCCAAGTCCTTGGGCCCCTGCACCCATGTAGGAGACCTGGAAGAAGCTCCTGGCTCCTGGCTTCAGATCGGCACAGCTCTGGCCATTGCAGCAAGTTGGGGAGTGAACCATCGGATGGAAAACCTCTCTCCCTCTCTCTCTCTCTCTCTGTAACTCTTTCAAATAAATAAATAAATCTTAAAAAAAAAAAAAAAACTCATTTCCTCAAATCCAGACCCCTTCTATCCCTCCCTTTCTTCTTCCCTACAAATAGGATTCATAAGACAGGGAATGAGTGGGCTCAGGAAGAGAGAAGCTCATAACTCTAACTATACTTGGAAACAGTATTTTGTCATACCATAATAGCTGATTTCTTTCTAAAAATCTATATTCAACACATATAAACATTGTAGGATTATTTTTCCATATAGACATCAGATACAGGAATGCGGGATTCTACCGTTTCCTAATTATAAAAAAATTTCAAGCTAAATATATTCACACATGATCTTGAGACTGCTGGCCACCCCCAAACTAGATGTGTTATAGCTTTATGTTCATTTTTTCCCTGAAATATAGTATCATATAGCTTCTTCAGAATTTTAATAAATAGTAACATATTTGCCATACATACTACCTATCGCTGTCATTACGTTAAAAAACATTGGTGGGCCAGTGCTGTGGTGTAGCGGGTAAGGCTCCTGCCTGCAGTGCCCATATGGGCACCGGTTCAAGTCCTGGCTGCTCACTTCTGATCTAGCTCTCTGCTATGGCCTGGAAAAGCAGTAGAAGATGGCTCAAATCCTTGGGCCACTGCTTCTGTGTGGGAGACCCGGAGGAAGCTCCTGGCTCCTGGCTTTGGATCGGCACATCTCCAGCTGTTTCGACCATCTAAGAAGTGAACCAGCAGATGGAAGACCTCTCTCTCTGCCTCTACCTCTCTGTAACTCTTTTAAATAAATAAATAAATCTGTTTTAAAAAGACACATTTGTATAAGAGTTACCCCCTGGGAATAAAAGTACATGACAGGAACACCTTGAAATAATCTAGACAACTGGTTAAGTAATTAGATAACTTAAGAATCACAGGTGTGGGGCCGGCGCTGTGGCGCAGCGGGTTAATGCCCTGGCCTGAAGCACCGGCATCCCATATGGGCGACGGTTCTGGTCTCGGCTGTTCTTCTTCCAATCCAGGTCTCTACTGTGGCCTGGGAAGGCAGTAGAAGATGGCCCAAGTCCTTGGACCCCTGCACCCGTGTGGGAGACCCGGAAGAAGCTCCTGGTTCCTGGCTTCGGATCGGCGCAGATCCGATAACAACAATAAATACAAATAAACAAATAAATAAATAAATGGAAGATGTATCTTTATATTTGTCTGTATCTCTTTCTCTCTCTTTCCCTATCTTTATAAAGATTCATTTATTTATTTGAAAGTCAGAGTTACACAGAGAGAGGAGAGGCAGAGAGAGAGGTCTTCCATCCGCTGGTTCACTCCCCAGATGGTCTGGGCCAGGCCAAAGCCAGGAACCAAGAACTCTATCCTAGTCGAACATAAGGATGGCAGGAACCCAACTACTTGGGCCATCCACAGGGAGCGTAATGAAAAGCAGAACAGCTGGGACGGGATCTGGGTATCACAAGTAGTGGCTCAACTCACTACACTACAATGCCACGGCCATAAAAATCAAATCTTAAATGAATGAGTAGTTGATCAATAAAGCAATTCTGATTCAAATTTGAAGAGCTCAAGATTTTTACATAATTTATTCTTTAAGGAAGCAGAACCGTAACATTTAGAATTTGTTCAAATTGCATTATGGTACCAATTCCCTTAACATAAGCAATAAATTCCTAAGGCTGTCACCAGACTTACTATTATCTTGTATGAACTATCCCAGGGATCAGCAAATTCTAGTCTGTGGTTAAAAAAAGCCCACTGTGTGACTTTTAAATAAAGTTTTTACTGGGACAGTTTTGTGATGCCTGTGACTGTTTCCACGAGAAGTGGCAGAGTGGAGTTGCTGCAGCAGAGCCAGAATTATTTACTATCTGACTTTTACACATTTGCCAGCCTTGAGCAGCTCCAAGGGCATCTTCATGAAAAACTTAAAAATTCAACGCATGGGGGCTGGCGCTGTGGTGCAGCGGGTAAAGCCCCAGCCTGCAGTACCAACATCTCATATGGGCTCCGGTTCAAGTCCTGGCTGCTCCTCTTCCAATCCACTTCTGCTATGGCCTGGGAAAGCAGTAGAAGATGGCCCAAATCCTTGGCCCCTGCACCCACATGGAAGACCTGGAAGAAGCTCCTGGCTCCTAGCTTCGGATCAGCCCAGCTCTGACCATTGTGGCCATTTGGGGAGTGAATCAGCGGATGGAAGACCTTTCTCTCTGTCTCTCCCTCTCTTTGGCCATAACTCTATCTCTCAAATAATAAATAGGGGCTGGCGCCATGGTGCAATAGGTTAATCCTCCATCTGTGGCGCCAGCATCCCATATGGGCACCAAGTCTAGTCCTGGCTACCCCTCTTCCAATCCAGCTCTCAGCTATGGCCTGGGAAAGCAGTGGAAGATGGCCCAAGTGCTTGGGCCCCTGCACCCATGTGGGAGATCAGGAAGAAGCTATCAGCTCCTGGCTTCAGATAGGCCCAGCTCCAGTCATTGTGGCTATTTGGGGAGTGAACCAGTGGATAGAAGACCTTTCTCTATGTCTCTCCCTCTCACTGTCTGTAACTCTACCTCTTAAATACATAAAATCTTAAAAAGAAAAAGTAATAAATAAAATTTTAAAAACAAACCTCAAAGTGTTAACAATAAAACAAATACAATGGTTTTACAAGTGGAAAATTAAACAAATTAATAAAAGGCTATATTATAATGGTTCAGGTATTTAGACTCATAACTATTTAGACTGAAAATAAAATGACTATATTATTTCCTGTAGTTTTATTATAGAAGTTTCTTCATAACTCATCATGATGATAGGATATGATAATGAAATTTGCTTTAAAATGTTACTTGTAAAGTTATTTAACCTTTAATCATATGTTTAACATTTCTCTAATTCTAACATTTACAGAACAGTCTATCATATTTCATGGGCACAGTCAAGCAGAAATCATTTTACACATTAAAAACTCAGACATCAAGGAACAACATGTATGTCAATGAAATTTCCCGTCAAAGGCAGTGAACTATAAATACTTAAACACACTGATTTTTTTTTCCCAACTAAATCTGCTTTTCTCAAAACTGTGTAACTTTGTAATTACTTTGTGTTTGTCCCTATAGTCTCTGCAAAAACAAATTTTGATTACTTTTTTTTTTACCTTGAGATCACGGTACACAATCTTGCCGGAATGTAGATAGTCCAAGGCAGAGACAATTTCTGCACCATAGAAACGTGTGCGGTCCTCAGAGAACACCCGCTCTCTCGACAAATGGAAAAACAGCTGCAGGGTAAACAGCAGGGACAGGATTGTAATAATTACTGATTTAGTGGGGGAAATTAACACAAACATAAAACACCTCTCATCACCATATTGTGATGATAGATAGTGTACTCTCAGTGGACACTGGCACTCTTAGACAGCAGCTGGCTTATCTTTTCCAGGTTTCCAAGGGGAAACAGCGAGCTGTTACATCAGCGTTTTAATCAATACACCAATCTTGTTTAAGGCATTCTGCTTGCTACCCATTTAACCTTCAGTTACCAGAGGAAAAAGCATCTTCCCTCACTCACTGTTGCTTCACTCTTCCCAGGATGAGGCACTGAGACACTACTAAAATGAACGAACACAAGCATAGATGCAGTCTTTCTACCGAATTAATTTACAATTGATTTCAAGAATTGATTCGCTTAAACTGATTTATACGAACATGTTTTATTTTACAATTGTTAATTGATGGTATCTCTAGAAGTATTTTCAGAGTTTTAATCAACATTTTCTATGATGAGAAACTAATTTCTAAATTGTTTTAGTAATGTCAAAAATGGAATGAGGAGCTTCCAGTATGCCTTCATAGTTCTAAGTGTATACTCCTTATATTTGTAAGACTAATTAATCACAAATGCCAACTTTTTTCATGTAATCATTTAAAACCGTAAGCTCATCCATTTCCTAGTTAACCACGTATAAGGTTTCTCTTTCAATAGTCAACACACATGAAGAGGCTTCAAAAAATTAGTGAAAAAATGGAATTAAAAGATAAAGCAAATTTTACAAGAACATTTGGAAGCCCTCTCGTATTTACTATAACCATACACATCACTTTCGTTCAGCAGCTTTTAACAAACTCCAAATCTCATCTTCAAGTTCAACAACATACTCGAGGAAGAAGCTGGTTTCAGGCACTATGAATTGACTATTAATCCTGGTCATATTATTTCACTATATTAAGAAATCTGCCAGCCGGTGCCGTGGCTCACTAGGCTAATCCTCCGCCTGCGGCGCCAGCACCCTGGGTTCTAGTCTCGGTTGGGGCACCAGTTCTGTCCCGGTTGCTCCTCTTCCAGTTCAGCTCTCTGCTGTGGCCTGGGAAGGCAGTGGAGGATGGCTCAAGTCCTTGGGCCCTGCACTCATATGGGAGACCAGGAGAAGCACCTGGCTCCTGGCTTCAGATCAGCGCAGTGCGCTGGTCATAGCGGCCATTTGGGGGGTGAACCAACAGAAGGAAGACCTTTCTCTATGTCTCTCTCTCACTGTCTAACTCTGCCTGTCCATAAAATAAAAATAAAATAAAATAAAATAAAATAAATCTGCCAACAACAATGAAAGTTGGTTTATGGTGCTGAGTACCTTGCCAGTATCATGGTAAGTACACAATACTTGTATGTGATGTAAGAAATGGAGCAACTAAGGTAACCACATGTCTTCACATGGGTCACTAACTCTGAATGCTTCTACAAAACTGGAAAGAATTACGGTTAACCAAGATTTGTTCTGCACACAGTCATAATTTCAGATAACACAAAACAGGTTTCCTATAGCTTCCTTCTCCCCCTTTCCTATTCAGCAATCTGTTACTGTTTTAAGATAAACTGTGTATTACCAACTAGCACAGGAGAGAGAGAGAGAGAAAGAGAAACAAGAATACCATCTATATTAAAATTAAAATATCTGGCAGTGTCTAATGCTCTGTACTATAGTGTCATATTTTAATAAAATCTAAAATGACACTAACTGGGACCATGTCTTTTTATATAACATTAAGAAAAATTATTATTTAAAACTATGAAAAAAAACTTTAAAACAATGACACATTATCCACCACAAAAGGCATTTCGATTCCAGAAATATTCAATATGTCTTATAAGTGATCAAATACAGTTTGCCAAAATTCAAACCAATTTATCCAAGAATGTAGATTTTTAAAAAGACATTCATTTAAAAAAGGCAGATATATATTATCAATGTATTAACATGTGAACAAGAACAGGGAAGTACAAAGAATATAGACCATCACTAAGACCACTGAAAAATTTCTAATTTAAAATAATTTCTACCATGTTTTATATAAAATATCAGTAATTCTGATGAAGGAATCACTATGATCCTTCTGTAGAGTTAGAGTAGCCTTTTAATGGGAAGAAAATAATAATTATATATTTAAATTTTCTTAAAATAATCCACTTCATAAAAGATACAGAGCCTCCCTAAATAAATATAATATATTCAGGAGTCTAGATCTTTATTTAGATCATATATGTTCAATTTGTCTGTCAGCCAATTTCCATAAAAGTATCAGCTAAAAAATATATTTAAGGGGAAGAATTCTATTTATTTCTCAAAATGCTGCCATCTGATGACTACCCTTGCTACTTAGGAAACTTACTCTTGTTAAGATGATTGACAAGTTCTTTATTGCCAAATCCAATGGTCTATTCACTATCTGTACCCCTTCTTGTTATTCCAGAGCTCAGACCATCACCTATTTCTCCCCATCTCCTCCCTCCCCTTTTTCTTTCTCTCTAAAAACATATTCCTTGACTGTCGTAATAGAACTCTCCTAATTCTACTCCTGTCTAGATAGTCCTCCTCAGTTTCCACCTTGATTTTGAACCAACTTTTGAATTCCTGACTCATTTTAGTAAACATCAATTATTTTTAAATCACTGTATTTGGTACTGAAAAAGAAAAAGGGACTATACTGATAACACTTTTTAAAAATTTATTTATTTGAGGGGGAAGACTGGGGACAGAGACAGATTGTTCTCCACTGATTTTACTTCCCAGATGCTTGCAAGAGCTGGGAACCAGGAGCCAGGAAGAACTCAATCCAGGTCTCCCATGTAGGTTAATAGGGATCTAGCTACTCAAGCCGTAACTTGGTTCCTCTCTCACTTTGACACCGCAAGAAGCTGGTACTGGGAGCCAGAGCTGGGAATTGAACCCAGTCACTCTGATATCAGATGGGGACTTCTTAACCCCTAGGCCAAATACTGGGCCCAGGTGATTAAAACTTAAGCACATAGAAATAAAAAAAAAGAAAAAAAAACTTAAGCACATATATTTATAGCACTGGTTGTGGTTGACAGTCCTATGATCGTACATCTATCTCCAAACTCATCAAATTGCATACTTTAAATATAGTTTTTATATTAATCATACTTTAATAATGTACTTTAAAAGAAATGACATAATCCTTGTCATTAATGAATTCCACCCCAATTGAGGAGACACACATATGGATTAAAAACAAAGAGAGAGCTGCAATTTTTTTAAAATGTTTTATTTTTTTGAAAGGCAGAGCAACAGGGACAGAGTTCCCATCTGCTGGTTTACTCCCTAAATGGGCACAAGAGCCAGGGCTGGGCCAAGCCAAAGCCAGGAGCCAAGAACTCCATCTTGATCTCCCATGTGGGTGGCAGGGGCCATCTCTTGCTGTCTTGTCAGATGCATTAGCAGGAAGCTGAGTAGGAAGCACTGCAGCTTAACAGCTTAACTCATTGTGCCACAGAAAACACACGTAGCTAAACAACAATATACATTCAGGGCAAAAAAAAAAAAAAGGCCAGATTGGTAAGAGAGTTGACTGCCATGATATGAGTGTGAATTTCATTCCACAGATAAGGAGAGTGTGAAAAGATTCCAGGCTTTAAAATTACCATACATTTTGAAAGACAACTCTGGAGCAATTAGGAAATCAATTTAAAAGATCTGAGAATACAGCCAGCTAAACAATTCATAAAGTGCAACAAAAATGGTAATGATCATATTTATATGGTAATAATCGTATTTCATACGAGTTTTGTGAAAAGATGCAGACAGGGGAGAAGTGGTACTAAGCTGCAAGGATATCACTATCTGGTTAGGACAACCAGATACACAAACTAGTCTACTGTAACTATAGCAATTATAATAAAACAAAACATGTTTCAGTATTTGGTACATTTGGTAACATAAGAAGTTGCATTTGAGCAGGATAAGAGCTGGGGCATCAGTCAGGGTGGCTGTGACAAACATTTCAAGAGTATCAATATTCTAGAAAGACCTATGCTATACCACTTGAGCCAAAAGAGACATCATCAACGTTGAGGTTGAATAGAATTTGCTGCCAACAGCACAGAAGAAAAGAATGAGGATGGAGACAGAGAAGCAATGGGTTTTATTTTGATGTGCTGATATTTAAACTAACATTTAATAACACAGCTCTGGAACTAAACATGAGTCATTTATACAGAGGACATAGTTAAAAACAAAGAAGCCAAGTACAACCTGGAAATTCAGTAAAAACTGAGAAGACGTCTAGGTACAGAGTCACAGGATACTACTACCTATCAGGACAGGAAAAATAAACAGTACAGAATACTGAGATGCAGTACTAAGTGAAATAATAAAGGAATCAAGAACATAGTATCTGAAGAAGGAAAGAGAAAATTATAAAACATTAAGGAAAGAAATAGAAGACAACACAAAAATGAGAAAAAAAAAAATCTTCCAGGTTCATGGATTGGAAAAGTTAACATCAACAAAATATCCAATCTACCCAAAGCATTTTACAGATTCAAAATAATCCCAATCAAAATACCAAGGAAACTTCTCGTATCTAGAAAAAAAAAAAACACAAAATGCATATGGAAACACAAAAGATTCCAAATAGCCAAAGCAATCTGAAGCAATAAAAACAAAGCCAGAGGCATCACAATATCAAATTTCAAGACATACTACAGGGCAGTTATAATAAAAAAGAGTGAAAAAGCAGCGTAGTGGGAAGAAGTATTTGCAATTGATGTACTGTTGTATCTGATAAGGGGTTAATATTTGAAATACCTAAGGAATGCCTTAGCATTCAACAGTAATAAAACCCAAAGAAAGCAATTAATATGTCAAAGATCTGACTAGTCTCTCCAAAGTCATATAAATGGCCAATAGGTACAAGCAAAGGTACTCAAGATCATTCATCATCAGGGAAATGCAAATCAAAACCATAATGAGATACTATGATCTCT